CCAGCGTGACTGGGGAGCGCTCTTTTACCTTCCCACCGAGGTGGTACCTGTTTATCTACTCACATTTGCATGCTTTCGAACTGCTAGGTTGGCGAGGGGCTGGGACAAAGCAACAGGAGCTCACTCTGTTTAAGTAAAATAACAAAGAGCCTTGTGGCACCTTTCAGAATAATGTATTCATTACAGCAGTAGCTTTTGTGAATTATAATCCCCTTCCTCAGATGCACAAGATGTAATTTTAAAGCTTCTGGAAGCCCCAGGAATTGGGGGATTTTCTGAGCTGTAGTCCCAAAATGCTTCTTTTGCCTTTTTGTTTTGTGGAGTGTTGCCCATTGCTTTATTCTCCCGCTTTCCACAATTCTCTGTTAAGGTATAAATAATCCTCAGAATTTGTGTCATAAAATGGGGCAAATGTTTTTCATTGTGACCATATATAATTTATGAGCTTTGATTTTTCATTATTTAGGGGTTACTTATTCTTCATCTTTCTTGCTTTCTTTGTCCATTAGCCTAAAATTCTGTAGCCATAAAACACATTGTGTGGAATTATTCAGCTTGACTAAAGTTTAATTTAAACATACCGAACAGCAATGTTGCAACATCAAAAATCATTAAAAATAAGAATTATCTGAAGTCTTCCGACTGCTTCAGTGATGATAACTGATAAAAGAATAAAATGAACCTCTACTATTCATAAATCAAATACATGCTTCTCTTTGTTGCCTAAGCCTGCTTGTATAATAACCTCCGTCGCTTGCATTTTTGTCTGAAAGGGGACTTGGTAGTATCTTTTCACAGTTATATTTGTAAAGATCTCAATGCCATTTTTAAGGGAATGAAAATCATATAACATTGACATACATAGTCATCTATTTGATAGCAGTTTGGAAATATTTCTTTGTACCTTTAAATTATGGAATAGAGCTTTTTTGGGGAGGGGTTGGGATCTTGTGTCCTTTCAGATTTGTGAAAATAAATGGTATTGTAACTGACACAACCTCTTGTATTATAAATTTTGTAAGAACAGATTTTATATTGCAGATTCCCCTCCCCCATTGAACTTAAAAGTGTTTTGTTTTTGGTTTTTGGTTTTTGGTTTTTGTTTTTGGTTTTTTTTTTTTTGCAATTGCAAATCTGAACATCTAAGGGTTACCATAGAAGAAGTTATATTAATGAGTTACTCAAGTAAGGAATTCAGCATGCGCCTAAACAGATGTAGAAATGCTAGATAGTTTTATTTTGTAATCAAAAACCAACTACCCCAGTTTGCTTTTTATCTTCCCACTCAATCCCTTTTTCTTTTCAGTTCAATCTTTTAGATCAAAAGTGTTAGGGTAGGGGATGTCTTGTTGCTAGCTGTTCTCAACCACTCTGGGAACCTCTTTTCAGCTGAAGAGTGGGGTAAAAAGTCATGAAATAAATATGCAATGTGATAACTTGTTCTTTACAAGAAAGATGCACATGATTAGCTGCAGAAATGTAGCCAATTAGCCATGTAAAATGAGTCTAGAAAAAGATTAAAGAGAAAATTAAGCTGAATTCTGAAAATTTAAAAGCCTCAAGAAATTGTAAGCAGTGCAAAGTGTCAGAAAACCGATATTGACATCACACATTGAGTGTATCCTCAAGAATGCCAGAATTGTACACTTTCCCAGATAAGATAATTTTCTTATTATTATGTGGAACACTTCCTAAGAAGCATTCATAGTGGTGAAATGTCCATTAAGAATCTTGCTCCTTAGGAAAGAAAGGAAGAAATTACTGCATGTAAAGTGCAACATGAAGACACGATGGCCTGGCATGCTCTGGTCCATGGGGTCATGAAAAGTCATACATGACTTAACGACTAAACAACAACAAGGAAAGTGCAATATTAATATTGTTGGTTGCTGGTGCTTACTCCAGTCAGAAATGCTTGTTTGTTTCTTGGTCAAAGTTTCTAATGCACAACATATTTTTCTGTTAAGTATGAATTCTCATAATAGGCCATCGTCCTGCTCATTGCGCCAATCTCAGACATAGTCTGGCCAGTGCTTCTCTGCCTTCCTACACTACTGGCCACTCCAATGAGGGGGTGAGATGATGAGTCTCCCCACTCAGGTGCTGAGTGGCCAGCAGTGCAGGGTAGCAGAGAAGTGCCAGCCAGGCTACGTCCAGGATTGCCGCGACAAGTAGGATGCTGGCTGTGCATGCTGTTCGGTGACCCATAAATGGACGGGTCGGGTCGGGGAGGTGAGACTGGACTTTCTGGCCACCTGGGTCCAGGATATTTGTATTTGTATGCAAATACAAATTTTCCATCTCTAATCCTGAGACACAGCCTCTGAAACACAAATTACATGTTTAAATGAAATAGAAGTACATGGAGGGTTCATGCTCTTTTGTGTTTCTTTCTTTCATTTAACCTTTCTTGCACCCTTTGTCAAAATGCCTGGGGAATTTTTTAATCAAATTAGTGTCATAAGGGCTGCTGTTGGCAGTTAATCAGAATGTCCAGGAGTGGGAATTTGGAATGGCCAGGAGCAGAAGAGCAGGTGATGAGAGTCCTTTGCTTCAGTAGTTCTTCTGGTAGTCTGTGTGCTAGTTCATGGTGCCCTCCATCTTTGATTGTGCAGCCTGGCTACTAGACTCAGAAGAGGAGGTGGGGGGAAATTTGTTAGGGACAAACTTGGAATGCATTTTTGCTTCAGTTTGCTTTATTGTTTTTCTTGGTTATGTGTGGTTTGGGGTTGGGTTTGTTGTTTTTTTGGGGGGTGGATAGATCATTTTTTCCTTTGGGGTTTGGTTGGGTTTTGGTTTGTTTCTTTGTTTGGGGTTTTTCCCTATTATTTCCTATATTGGGAGCATTGTTTCTCTGTTAGATTGATTTTTTAAAAATTATGTGGTTCATTTACTGTGTATTTCTTCTTTTAGAGATGTATATTTTGGTCATTTTAAAAAATGATTCTTTCTATTCTGCTTCTGGTGTAGATTTATTCTCTGTTCCCTTGGCCCTCTGCATTTTAGGGTAGTTTCTAAGGGCTGTTTAGAGCTTTTGGACCATTAGTGCCGGGAAATACAAATAGGGAAAAACAACATTAAGTGTTGTGATAGAGTTAGTTCCTTTCATATTAAACAAAAGGACCAATGCGCTAAGAAATGAAACCAGAAAAGGGACTATTCCCAAAAGAACCTGAAATGAAATAGACATAAAAAAATTGCTGTGCACATCCCTAGTTTTGAAGCAACACACATCTGTGTAACTGGCAGGTCAGCTCAGGGGTCCCTGTTAATATCAAGAAAATCCAGCATTATAAGTCTGTGTCAACATTTTCCAGTAGTTTCAAGGCATTTTGTAGCACAAATCCTGGGTTTTATTGCCAGCAATTCTGTTAACACTGTAACACCGTCCCAATATGAGAGTCTACTGGGCTCTCTGGAACCTAAAAGACTCGTTTCTATGTAGTATTCTGTTCAACTCGAAAAAGTTGTTGAAAAGGTCAAAATATCCCTGTCAACTCAGTTAACTTAGAAACAAAGTTAAAGAAAGGAATGTACGAAATGCTCATGAAAAACACCTGCAGAGTGTAGGAGCTTGATGAAGGAGGCTTTGCCATTACCACCAAACATATGCTACAGTGTGCCAGTCACTCACCTTAGTTAGAAATTATCATGTAATGTGGATCTTTAATTTTCTTAATTCAAGTATCAAAGCTGAATGTGTAAGCACTTACATAGGTGGAATCTTAATATAAAGCCATGGCCTGATGAGGAGAGAGCTATCCAATAAAGGTGGTATTAGATGGAAGATGAGGTGAAGACAAACAGTACAATGTGGGCAAATAATTATATGCAAGATTTGGCATAGATTTTACATGATTTAATGATTTCTGAGGAGTGAAAGGTGAATTTAATTTACTTAGTGTTGTAAATATGAATACAGATTGCTTTGTGTGTGGGATGTTCTCTATCTTACTATGTATAACCATTTATTTCAGGTCGGGTTGCTTGTGACATGTACTATATGTGAAACAACCAAATGTGTAAGATTAAGTTCAATAAAACTGCATAACTCCATATATGAAATATACAATATTAGACTTATGTGTTTCTAGAATAAGAGTCACTCAAACTCCATTAACTCCATGAGTGGTGAAGTGTCAGGCTTAGACCAAGGAGGCTTCAACAGAAACCTCAACTCAACCACAAACATTACTGTGTGATTTTGGTGTAAACTTTTTTTTTATTCCTAAATTCCTGTCAATCAGTTGGGAGGATAAAGTAGGGTAATCCTCTAGCGCCGAACTTTGGGTAACCCAGGTGTTCTTGGAGAGCAATTCCCATAAACTCTGGCCAGCACAGCTGATGGAGAAGGCTTCTGGGAATTACAGTTTAAGAACACTTGGGCTGCCCAAGATTGAGAACCACTGCTCAAGCATGTTTTGCAGGGTGTCTAGAGAAAAGTTGAAATATAAATGTAATGAATGAATAACAAAGATATTTTGATAAAAGAGGGGACTTTTAGAAGATGAGAGGATAGTTTTAATATAGAAGTTGTCTCCTATAAATATACAAGGAATGTGATGCGGCATGCAGAAATCCTTAGGGACATTGACATACTTCTTAAATTCCAGCTTACTGTATGTCATGGTTGGAAAAGTAAATTTGACATTACACACACACACACACACACACACACACACACACACACACACACACGCACACACACACACACACACACACACACACACACACACACACACACACTCTCTTTAGTGAAAAGACAGAGAAGTGAATCTGACATTAAAGAAATCACATCATAAGACATCGTGAGTGAGGTAGAAGCAATGGAGAATACAGTGGAGTATTCACCAAAGGACTAAGAAAGCTATAATCAGAAAGGAGATTTCTTCTTCAGGTTTCAGGATATTTCTGCCTTTGAAACCAGGTCAACTATTGCTATGCACTTTAAACTCTTGACAAAACTAGATTTTTAATTGTCCATTGTTTTCTTTTTACAGGAGCTATGCCTGTTCCAGACCAGCCATCGTCTTCTGATAAGACAAGTTCCCTTAGCCCTGTGCTGAATACATCAAATGGAGATGGATCTGAAACAGAGACCACCTCTGCAATTCTGGCATCAGTCAAGGAACAAGTAAGCAACTGTAGTAAATTCCAAATGAACAGTGGCACTGTCAGATTTTAATATTGAGCATATGAACTGCCCCTTCTACATGAAAATGCTATGCAGATGTGAAACATATTTTTCATTCACTCCATTATGCCATATGTCAGATATTGCCCGAGATATGATTTAAATGCTGAATTTTTCTTGCTTTCCCTAAAGAGAGTTAAAATTGGTGTAATGGCCTGTAACAGTTAGACAATAATTGCTTTTTTCTCCTCTGTATTTGGTGGTAGTGGTGGTGGTGGTTTTTTTCTTTATATATGTCAGAATTGTACTATGTGCGCTGAAAATTATATATTTCATTGCTTTGGGGTAGGATGGATTTATGTCATAATGGATAAGGCAACCATAGGGCTTTTGACATAAACCTAACCCAAAGAAGTAACTTAGCTAAAAAAAGGCCAGAGCAAAGTAGGAAGAGACTGTAGTCCAGCAGTAGTGGAATGCGAATACCAATGTCTTGGTGTTTCTACAGGTGTTTTGTTTTTTCCTCTGTAATTTTTTTTAAAGATGTAACATCTGAATTTCCAGACTTCCTGGTCAGTGCTTTGACTTTTACACCAGAAGAATATGAATTAAACATGCATGCTTTGTGGGTTTTCTTCATATGCATCCACAGTACACCCACTGAGCATGCACTTGCCCTAATTCATTCCAGTGTAGAAGAGCTGTAAGCAGCTGAATATCTGAATGCCTTATGACAGCAAATGGGAGCACTTCAGTGTGTGGGGTCTTCTCTGCATGCAGGCTGCTGAGAGACTTGTATGTTCTTATGTATGAGTCCATCCAATCTAACTAAATTTGAAACACACCACTGATTTTGCTGGAGGACTTAAACAAATGGTGGACTCTGTTCCACTGAGAATTTATTCTTGTAGGAACGTTTTACTTAATTTGAGCGTAATCCAGGCAATATTATTTTAAGAAGCAGATTTGCTTTGCAAAAGAAATCATTTGGAAATAAAGTGGACATGTGTCAAGAGCTTCCTTTCTAGACACATTTAATGTGGTAGCCATATGGCAAAGGTAATGGGGGCGTCTTGGTACTTGCGTGGTGCTAGCCTACTGTGTTGTTTTTGAAAGTCACTTGACCTCTTGGCTGTGTTTCTCTGTGTTTAATTTCTCTGAGAAACCATATGCAAAATAGTTTTATCTGTCACTCCAGATTCCTTTGCTGGCATCTTTCACAGTAGGATGCAAGAGTCTTTCGATAGGAGCCAAGAATTATTTGAAAAAAAACTATGTATTTGTGCCAGAAAACTATTACTTATGCAAGTCAGGTTTCAAGAAGAATTTGTGCCATGTGCTTCTCTCCTTGGATGTTTCTTAAACAATTCTCACAGCTTCTTTTTCAGATTTACAGGCGTCTGATTTCCATAAATATTCTTTTGAGCCCTTAATTCATATGCACATATCTACACAAAACACTTTCTTATTATTAACTGTGACTTATTAAAAGCCACTAGTCTTACAAAGGCTTTATTGTTGTTGAAAAGCAAGGAAGACAGAAGATCAATGTCTCTTCCATGACATAATATACTTGATTTAGGATAGGTGGCATACAAATGAAAAACAAGGCAAACACCCGTAATGCAGTATGCTTTTGTTTTACCGATATTTGTTACAATAGTCAGGTTTTTATTGGAATAAAATTGTCATATTTGCAGTAGTATAAATATCTCAGTAAGTGATCATGTGCCTAGAGGTCTTATTTACCAAGGGGCAGGAATTCATATATGCACAGAAAATACCCTGTGTTCACAATTATTTCCCTATTTATTTTGTTGGTGGAAAAATGTACTGCACTGCATTGTAATGTGTAGGACAAGCATTGTGTCCAGCAGTGTCATATGTGAAGGTATTTACACAACACCACTGCCCTCCTTTGGAATAAATTAAGCATTTACTTTTGCACATACACTTTCCTACCCTCTTGTAATGGATAGAGAGCCCTGACTATTTTTCCAGTACAAGGAATAAAAAATGTTTATTATAGAAATCGTACTTAATATAATTCCTCTTTCTCAAGCCTTTATTTATATTGTAAATCCTCAGGGGCATGCTTGTTTTATGCTTCACTTGTTTTGTTTTGTTTTTGTGGGGGCAGAATGTGGGTCCTTTATTCAGTTATATATAAAGAGAAATATATAAAAATAAATCTTCTAAATTTCGGAATGCTGGATGGTTCTTATAGTTACTGCATTGTATCTTCCCTAGAACTCTGCAGCCAGTGTTTTATCTGGCCAAGTGGGAGTTTTCTTGACATCAAGAACATGGAATTGAGTCCCATCAACTGTATCTGAGTTCCCTCTGATGTAAGCTTGCTTTCAATTCATGCTTCATGCTTTATCATTGTCTGCTGTCTGCTCTGTCCAGGATGGAGGAGGAGGAAGATAACTTGCTGGTGCAGGTTCTTCACTCAGCAGTTGCAACTACATTCACACAGAAATCACTTGGAATTTGTTCTGCCATCTTGAAAGCAACTGTTACCACAGTAAACCACAAACATTTTTGTTTTGTTTTGTTGCAAAGATTGCCACAGTTGTAGAGGAATTGGAGGAGCAAGACAATGGTGATAGCTTCTACTTGTTGCTGTCCTGGAAAGTATGTAAGCTGAATGCATCAAGAAGAAGAAGAAAGAAGAAAGAAGAAGAAGGAAGAAGGAAGAAGGAAGAAGAAGAAGAAGAAGAAGAAGAAGAAGAAGAAGAAGAAGAAGAAGAAGAAGAAGAAGAAGAAGAAGAAGAAGAAGAAGAAATATATCTCTGAAAAGGAGAATAGAAGAAGGTCCAGATGATACCCTCTTAGAGGGCAACTCCAAATCTCCATTCTAATATTTTCTCTTGCTATAGATCTTTATATTAAATGCTTTAAGGATCACTTACAGGTCTGTCTTCCAGCAAGCCTTCAAAATAGAAGATTTACCTCTTTAAAGTAGAGCATATGGTATCCAAACTATAAAACACACGAAGCGCACAATCTAAGGCACAGCTGCAAATTAGTTCTACAGAGCTCGGTGCAACTTACTTACATAGGGATGGGCTGTACTCAGTTGTGTGCCTCATGCATCTGCTACCATTTCTGACTCCTCTTTCTTCTACATTTTCTACTGCCAAACTGACACAAAACTGGTAGTGGAGAAAGTCTCATGCCAAAATAACACTCCCAGTATCAGATGGAGATATATTTCAAATATAGCAATATTCTCAAACTCTACTTGTTGATTAAGATCATCTGTTATATAATCGAAACCTAACAAACTTGGTACAAGATTGTAGCTGTGATCTATGTGTCAGTCTCTTAAACTAAGGCTACTGTTTCTATGCATGCACTCCACAGAGAGCAATTGCCATTCAACTAAGTAGGACATGGTGGCGCTGCAGGTTAAACCACAGAAGCCTTTGTGCTGCAAGGTCAGAAGACCAGGAGTCGTAAGATCAAATCCACCTGCTGGAGTGAGCTCCTGAAGTGTGTCCCAGCTCCTGCCAACCTAGGAGTTCAAAAGCATGTAAATGCGAGTGGATAAATAGGTACCACCTCGGTGGGAAGGTAACGGCATTCTGTGTCTAGTCATGCTGACCATGTGACCACAGAAACTGTCCACGGACAAACGCTGGCTCTACAGCTTGGAGACAGGGATGAGCACCACGCCCTAGAGTCAGACATGACTGGACTCAATGTCAAGGGGAACCTTTACCTAAGTGGGATTTATGTCCAAGTAACCATGCATAAAATCAGGCTTATCATATTTGAAATCAATCAGCTAATGTGTGACAGCTACCCTCATCAGTCTTGTCATCATTATCTGTTGCATTTCCTACCTTCAAAAAGTGTTGTTTTCTTTTTTAAATGTGTAGTTAAACTAAACATGTATCAAGTTGCTTACCATTCTGATGATTTTTGGTTAAAAAGTACTATTTAAAAATAATTAGTGGTGTGTGCTAATTTAATTGTATATAAATACAGGCAGAGAAACTGAAAGAGAATTGTGAGGGTTTTAAATCTCTAATACCCTACTTATGATACATTTTAATGGTAGATGGAGTAAAAGTATTTCATTACATGGATTGTGTTAAAGGATCTATTCCTTTTCTTTCTGTATTAGTTTATTTAAATAATCAGAGTGTGAAAGGATATGAGTTATCAGTTTATCTTTAATTTGACTGTTATAGTACACTTTAATATAACATTGTAACTTTATATTCTTAAGAAACACAGTATGATATGGGTCTTCAGACATTTCTTCTTATCCATCTTTCTTCAGTCTCAACCTGAAGTGAGAGTTTGGGTCACCTGTTCTTTCTTCTTGTCTCTAGTTGTTTAATTATATTTATGAACCCATGTAACTTTTCATGATTACTTCATCCATTGGCTCAGTGTTGTCAGATGCACAGTTCAATTTGTCTCATGAAGTCTGAGCCAGCTAATACTGTACTTTCAACACACCACTGAATAACCTTATGAGCAATTCTTCCTATCTTACAGACTGATATTAAATTAGTAATACTCATTTACATAGAACTTACTTTAAGTGCAGAACTTGCATAGGAATAATGACGGAGGACAATCCCTTTTGCCTAATTTGAGCAAAAAGTAAAATTTACTCTCTCAAAATTTGTTTTAATACTGCCAGGTCCTGGTCTCATGCAATCTTTGTTTTGTTTTTTTAAATTAAATTAAAAGAAAACTTTATTTTCTTGACCAGCTGTTGTGGACCAAAACTATTAATCTCCATATTGTATCAAAGTGAAAAACACTCTTGGAGAAAGTATTTAGAGATAAATACATTTTTTCAAAAAAATAATTTGAAGTTATTGGAATGTGTGGGCTTGATTATGTGCAGGCTTATTCAGAAATAGGTCCTTTGTGCATGTAAAATTCATCTGTAATGCTCTTATAGAGAGTTCGGAGCAAATTTTGGAACAAAGGCAGTTGAGAATTATTAGAAAGAAGAATACAAAACAAAAACA